ATACCTATTAATACAAAAGCATAAAAACCTGACTCTAGTTATTTTTTATTTTGTTTTAAAAGCAAAGTAGTTTTATTTGCTTCACTTTTTGAGGGTCTGAGGATCTTTTTAAAAATTTTTTTAAATTAGTTTCAGATGTACAAATCAATGTAATAGTTAGACATTTACACCCTGAGGATCTTTAACTTGTGTATTTTTTATTATTAAAATGATAGTCATGCAATGTGGAAAACACCTGTTTAAGCATAATGCTTTTTAAATTATGACTTACTAGACAATAATCATTATTTCTTTTGTTTATTAATATTGAAATATATATATATATATATATATATATATATATATAAAACTTCATTATATATAATTAAATTCTACCATTATAAAGAGTAAATATTTTTAAGGGTCATAAAATCATGGTTCAGATCATGTGACATAAATCTATGAGGTTATTAAGTTCCACCTTATTGTTATCTTATGTCCTCCCTTTTCAAAAAAAAAATATATATATATATATGAACTTATATATGCAATATAGGTAAAGAAAAATGTCATGCTCTACTTTTATCTCATATCAATAACTATCATAAAAAATAATTAAAAAGGAAAAATATTTATTTAGTCATAAATGAGTTGCAAAATTGATTTCATTCAATAGTAACTAGGCACTGTGTGAAATGACAAGGATATAGTGGTAAACAGTACAGACATGGTCCCTGCCCTCATGAAGCTGACAGTCTCATAGAAAAGATCAACATTAAAATTAGTCATTGGAGGAAGAGTATCAGGTGATACAGAAACATATAACTGGTATATCTAAACAGATCAGGTGTTACTGTGAATAACTTTCTACTAGAAATAACTTCTAATGCGAGCACTAAATAAGTATAAGTTGGCTAGGATAAAGTAGAAACCATTTCTGGGGAGAAGAAGTGGCATTTGCAAAGACCCTTCTTTGAGAAAGAGCATATTTCATTAGATGATCTAAAACAATACAACAATATGGAACAGGGTAGAGTACAGTGAGGAATGAATAGTACAGAACTAGAGAAAGTAGACAGGGGTCAGACCTTCTAGAATCTAGACTATGTTAAGACATGTGATTATCCTAACAATAGTGGAATGCTATTGACATGATCTGAATTACATTTACTAAGGTTATTTTGGCACAGTGTACAGAATGGATTGACAGGAATCAAACATGGATTCAGAAAAAACAGTTTGGAGGAAACTGCAACAATGTAGATTAGACTTGATGGACACCTGGACCATATAGTAATGTGGTTACACAAAATATTGGGTAGTTGGGAAAGTCATGACATATTTTTCTATGGTTTTCAATGCAAAAATGTGTCATGACTTTCCCGACTACCCAATAGTTGACTGAATCCAGAGATAGAAGGTAGAATTAACAATATCCTGTGCTAAGTTGAATGTGTAGGTTCAGGGGGTGAGAGAAATCCAAGATTGCTCCTAGGTACCTGGCTAGATCATCAGACATTTTATAAGGTGCAGAGATCTCAAAGGAGAAGGTATTTTGGGGGGTGGCGGGGGTGGGGGTGCTTAGCAGAAAGGTTGGATGAAAAGATTTTTAGTTCAGGTTCAGAACTCAAAATGTTTTCAATGATTTTGAAAATTTCATGTAGACAATTGGGTGTGTAGAGTTCACAAGAGAGGTCTACCATGGAGAGAAATATATGAAATCATGGGTACACAAATGGTACTTGAAGCTATGTTTGTTCATGAGCTCTACTCTACTAGGATGAATATAGCAAGAGAGTGGGGGGCCGGCCGATTGGCGCGATGGTTAACAACTGGCTCGGGATGCCAGAGGACCCCGGTTCGGATCCCACATATGAGGGCTAATGACACTGCCCTCCACAGTTAAGATGCTGAACAACAGCTCAACCTGGAGCTGGGCTGCTGTGGGTCGCCGGCAACGGCGTAGGCTGCAGCCCCTGTGGCAATGGGTTGCCATGGGCTACCGTGTGTAGCCAGCATGAGCGTCCAGCAGCCAGCATGAGCGGCCAGCAGCCGCTGTGAGCGGCCATCCAGAAGTCAGCGACTGATCTGCCTCGCCCGGGCAGAATGCAGTGATGGTGCCAACTTGGGCCAGTGAAGCAACATCCTCCACAACTAGACTGAAGAACAAAAATGACAGCAACTTGTCTGTTCCCCTTCCCCAATTCCCCAGCTCTGTTCCCATACCACCACTTCCCCAATAAAAATCTTTAAAAAAAAAAAAAGAGAGAGTGGGGAGATGGCTGAAATACATCTTGCGTGCTTCTTTTCAAAAAGCAATTACATTTCAAAAGATACAAAGAAGTTGTTGCCCCTGAGGCATGAAGAAACGGGATTGGGACCTCATGAAGCAAGGGGAAAAGAACAAAACCAAGGGGGGAAGAATCATCTTTGTCAAATACCACTGAGAGAGTAAGTCAAATAAGAACTCAAAATTATCCTTTTGTTTTTAGTGACAAAACATGGAGAGTTTGTTGACTTCAGGAAGAAAAAGTAGTAGGTTGAGGATATAATAGATACTTGAGGAAAAGATAAACATCTTTTTCAAATTTGGCTGTGAAATGGAAGAAAGAGTTAGGGCTGTAATTAGTTAAAGAGGAATGTGGGTTATAGGAAAGTATAATCCCCCCACCACCGCAAGATAGGAGAGATTAATGAAAATTTTTGTTGGTAGGAAGAGGCCAATAGAGTGGGAGATGTTAAAGACAAGAGAAGGAAGAGATAAGAGATTTCTGAAGTATTCTAGAAAAGTAGAAGGTGTCCAAAGCATGTGTGGAGGGATTAAGTATTTACCCCATTGAAACAGGAAGGAGGAAAGGATAGGTCCCAGTTCAGAGAGCTTTGTAATTCGGGGGTGGAAAGTAGAGATATGGTAGACTGATGTTGTCTCTACTCTCGGTGAAGTAGGAAATAAGGTCATCAGCTTGAAGTGGAAGGGAAGGAAGAAAAAGGTTAGAAGGTATTTGAAATTGTCTTTGCAGAGAGGAGATTGAGCTAAGTGGAGAAATATAGGACCGTTGAGGTTGGGAACCAAGTATTTAGAATGAAGCCAGTCTGCCAAGGAAGTTATTTTCCCCAGTAGGACCTAGCAAGATAACACATCACGTCGGTAATTCTCTATTTTTATATGCTAATAGCAAATCATCTTTAATTTTATCTTATTTTTTGTTTGTTTGGTTTTACCAGTAGAGGAGAAATATGTTTCTTCTTTGAAATGGTGTTTTTTCTGTGTTCTCTGGGTTGTGGCGCCCTCACGTGGCATTCACATTTTGTGCTCAAGCGGATGCATTTGAACAAGCTGAGAATTAAGCATGTGCCTCATATCACTGCTAGTATAAAGGAAAAATTAGCTACTGCTTCGACTAAAGCCTGTTGTAGGTACAAAGAAACTTCCTTTGTAGTTTAACATAGCGTTGGCTACTCACTGTCCTATTTTACTGCACTTAAAATCGTGTTGCTATTTTGTCATGTGCAAGTAATGTGGAAATTTATAATAAAAATAGTAAGAAGAGTTATGAATAGTATCTATTCATTTCCTGGGGTTTTTATAATTGTGTCTAAATTTACATTGATAAATGTTGTTTTGCGTAATTGTAACTGAATCCTTCTGCTTTTTATTAAATATAAAAGAAAGCCATTGAATTAATAACTACCAGATACTTTCTTAAAGAGATTTGTTGTTTTTCAATATAAAGAAAAGTGAAGGGCATTGGCTATGTCTACAAAAGCAAAATGGGGTAGAGTGAAACAAACTAGACGTTTGTGTTAGAGGACACAAAGTCGTGTCCTCTGTGATTCAGGAAGTTAGGAAAGCTATTTATTTATTTATTTGTTTAAGATTTTATTGGGGAATTGGGGGAGGGGAACAGCGCTGGGGAATCGGGGGAAGGGGAACAGACAAGTTGCTGTCCTTTTGTTCTTCAGTCTAGTTGTGGAGGACGTTGCTTCACTGGCCCATGTTGGTATTATCATTGCGCACTTCCCGGGTGAGGCAGATTGGTCACTGGCCTCTGGATGGCCGCTCACGGGGCTCTTGGCAGCTCACACTGGCTGCCGGCTACTCACAGTAGCTTATGGCAACCCACTACAGCAGCAGCTGCAGCCTACGTGGTCGCTGGCGACTCACGGCAGCCCAGCTCCAGGTTGAGCAGTTGTTCAGCATCTTACCTGTGGAGGGCAGTGTCACTGGCCCTCATGTGGGATCAGAACCGGGGCCCTGCTGCTCAGAGCTGGCATCCCAAGCTAGCTCTTAACCAATGCGCCACTCAGCTGGCCTAGGAAAGCAATTTATTTAGCATCTACTCTGTACCAGGCAATTAATATAGGAGCTTTAACATATTTTAACTAATTTCATCCTCACAGAAATCCTGTAAAATCATTTTTGTTTTTGTTTGTTTTTGTTTTTCTCACTTTAATAGGGAAGTGAACCAAGGCCAGGGAAATTAATAAGTAATTTGACCACAGTTATAAGCCCAAGGAATGCCAACGTAACACCAGCCATTTTCTCTTACTATTCAGAATTTTGTGAGCAATTACAGTATATTATATACTCCACTAAGAAAGGATCTTACTGAAGATTCTACCAGGGTGACCCTTTGAATGGTGATGTAATGCATTTAATTAATCATTCGAATTCGCTTGTTGAAGTTTTGTCAGGGTTTACATACACACTGAACTTGCAGCTCAGTTGTTGAGTCTGTCATTTCAAAAACTTAAATTGGTAAATTATTTACTAATGAACCCATTGCTTTGTGTTTAATCTTTTTAATTACTAAACAGCTCCCAAGCAGCCTCAAAGTAGTTGATGACTTGGCCTAACATGACCTAGATTCGGGGTTGTTGAATGACCGAAACGGAAAGAACAAACTCAATAATAAAATTATAAGGGCATAAAAGTTCTAAACTTCATGGTGGTAAAAAGGATGGCGGTGCATGAAAGTGAGATTTTCCATTGAACTTTGTTTTCCTTGACGATATTCTACTTTATTCAATGTGCTCATTATGTGCACTATTCTTACCAACTGTGTATTTATGACCATGAGTAACCCTCCAGACTGGACAAAGAATGTGGAGTAAGTAGAAAATATCTTTCAATATTTTCATCCCTTTATATTTCAAATTGTGCATTTAATACCTTGAGACGTCATCAGTTTCCTTTAACAAATCATACCAGCTACTTCAAACCAGACCAGTTAGACAATGATGCAAGTTCTTCTCAAACACTTATTTCCTCTCAGACAAAGCTTGCAGTAGCTCAAATTACTACACTGGTTTCACTGCCAATATTTGTAGCCCTTTATCTTTCTTGTGAGGCCCACACTCTTTTGAAGATCATCAGTGATTAGTAATATCCAATGATAACAATTATACCTACTTTGTATTTTCCTTTTCTCATGGCTTTCCCCTTTCTGTTTTATTAGTACATATTTTGTGGCTCTTAATGCCTATTTTTCAACACAAATGTTTCATCAATATTTTGAATTAAACCTATTTGCTTGAATCAGACTGAAAGCCAGTATATTTAAATAATATCTTCATATATAACCATATTAATTTGTGCCTTCAAATTAATTAATGTAGAAAGTACAATACTCATTTAGTTACAGTCAAAGCGATTGTCCTTCAAAATGTAATGTTTCTTCCTGCCTTAAACCCTACCTAACCTCTACATTGTAGGGAGATAGATATAGACCCTTATGGGAGCCTCTGATTTTTGTTTGTTGTTTTAGTCTCTTTTAAGATATGTACATATAAATTACCTATTAGATCTTTAACGTGGGCTTGGCTATTTTTTCTCAGGTATACCTTTACAGGAATTTATACTTTTGAATCACTTATTAAAATACTTGCAAGAGGCTTTTGTTTAGAAGATTTCACATTTCTACGGGACCCATGGAATTGGTTGGACTTCACAGTCATTACTTTTGCGTAAGTATCTTAATACATTTTCCATCCTGGAAGAGTAAATCATTGGTGGGAGCCTACACTGTATTTCTTCTTTGTGGCTTCCCTTGACAGATCAAGCATTTTTTTAGTTATCATATGAATTGAAAATATTTTTCTTCCAATCAAATTATGTACTTTGGAGAAATTAGGAACTATCGTATTAAATTATATGGCTTTGGTTTCAATTAGTGCTGTAAAATAATAAAATAGTTTCCTAAGTAACAGAGATTATGATTGATGACAATGCCATTTTTTTCTTAATTGGGAAATCTGATGGCAACACGCATTGAAGTTGAAAAGGTCTTGATGAAAGACCAACGTAGACTTAGATTTCCCTAAATTCTGAATAACTCTGATTTAATTCTACAGGTATGTAACAGAATTTGTAAACCTAGGCAATGTTTCAGCTCTTCGAACTTTCAGAGTCTTGAGAGCTTTGAAAACTATTTCTGTAATTCCAGGTAAGAAGAAACTGGTATAAGGTGGTAGGCCCCTTATATCTCCAACTGTTTCTTGTGTTTTGTCATTGTGTTTGTGTGTGAACTCCTTATTACAGATATGTGACAGAGTTTGTGGACCTTGGCAATGTCTCAGCGTTGAGAACATTCAGAGTTCTCCGAGCATTGAAAACAATTTCAGTCATTCCAGGTGAGAGCTAGGTTAAACACCGAGGCTGAGTTTAGCTGCATTGGTGCTACAATCACAGCTTTTGTGCATAAGCCTATTGCTTGTCACCTATTGCGAATACATATGTAAAAAAGCAAGAATCGGTACATCATATTTTGGATGGATTTGATTCTTTGCTTTTACTAGTTGCTTTCTTTGAGACTGTTCTAAATCAGCCTTTGAGTTTAACAAGTTTTTGCATGAGGCATTTGCAGTAACAGGCTACATGGTCTGCATCGTATAACATCAAGCTTTCTGCATAGAGGCTAAATTATGAGGCATTTGGACTGATGCAAAAAAATGACCGTTTAGGTCCAAAATTGGTATTTTCTTACCTGAAGATAAATGAAACAGCAAGGAATAGCATGAGTGCTGCATGGGGCTCAGTTTTCAGATGTCTTCCTTTTTTAACCCATACTCAAGCTTGCAGAATTCAGAAATATATAACCTCATAATTCAGTGACTTAAAGATTACTTACCACACTATTCGTATAGATTTTTCTAAGATCAATAAGAGGTTAGGGAGTAAGACATCTGCAAATAAAAGCAAAATATTTACACAAGGTTGATGTTTCAGCATGAATATCAAAATCATTTTTTCGCTCTTAGGAGTGTTTGGAAATACACTTTGGTTCATTTCCATTCACAGTTATCAAGTGAACATACAAGTTCGGCTTTCATTCATTTTCACCAGCTAGCAGGCTTTTCATGAAAAATGTTACTCAATCACAAGCATTAAACTAATACTGTTGGCATTGTGCATGACATCTTTATTTTACAGGACAAGCTCATGATTGTTTTGTCGGTAAAGTAGCTATTAAATAGCATATTTAAATTTCTCCCTCTGATTTTATTTGTAGGCCTGAAGACCATTGTGGGGGCCCTGATCCAGTCGGTGAAGAAGCTCTCAGATGTCATGATCCTGACTGTGTTCTGTCTGAGTGTGTTTGCACTAATAGGCCTGCAGCTGTTTATGGGCAACCTGCGGAATAAGTGTTTGCAGTGGCCCCCAGATAATTCTTCCTTTGAAATAAACATCACTTCCTTCTTTAATAACTCATTGGATGGGAACGGTACCATGTTTAATAGGACAGTGAGCATGTTTAACTGGAATGAATATATTGAGGATGAAAGTAAGATATACTTTTTTAACCATTAAGTTGTTTAGTCTGTTAAATATTTTAAAAATTCATATATGGAATTGTCTCAATTTTGATGTGAACCAAGTGACTTAGACTAATTTAAGATAAATCAGTATACGTGATACAAATCGAATATCTTACTCCTTTTTCCTTTTTCCTTATCTGTCCATCACATGATGAAAGTTACCATTTGAAAATGTGTTCTTTCCCTAAAACAGTGTTGAAAACAATACCATGTTATGCTGTATAAGCAAAACAAAATATTTATTTGGTAGGCATTGATGAGTTCTCAATCATCTTACATAAATCAGTACTTTCAACTATGCAGTATATTATGCTGAAATGTATTGTTAAGACCAGGGAAAAATAATTTGGCCCAATTTGGTTGGGCCCAATAGAGGAAACATTCACCAAGATGAAACCTGAATTTGTCACTCATCAAAAAGTTAAGCAACGCCAATCCAGTCATTCGCTCATTGATGATGGGAGAGTGTAAACTCAAAAACCTACTTGTCTAATATTGTTGTTCCAGCTTATCCCTTTGGTATCAGTCATTATTTTAGATTTGCTTATCAGTATAGTTTGATTTTATTTTAGGGGTGGCATCAGGATAAACTTAGGATGCCATAAACATCAGTATAATTTCTTACCATGGAAACCAGCCCCTCCGTCATTTGGATGTCCAAGTCCCTTCCTCTCTATGTACAATTACCTTGCTAATTTCCATTGGTACCTTGATTATCAATACTCCACTGGGATACTTATTCTGAGGTATCCTTCATGGTTCTTAGAACTATATGAAATTGTATCCCTTCTTACATTATATTAATATTTTAAGAGTTAGTATTCTTATGAAGATTTATACTGGGGAGATTAGGATTTACTGGATAAATGAATAAATAAAACAAATGATTCCATTATTTATGGGGTGTTCTATTAATATAATAACAGCGCAATGACAGTCTTTGCACGTAAATATTTTCTCTGTTTCTGGTAGCTTCCTTCAGGTGGATTTTTATTAATGAATATTTTTGGGTCAACAGCATGACCAGATTAAGGCTATGGAGACACTGTGTCAAATGGCTCTCCAGAAAGAGCATACCACTCACTATTATTGGCTATTGCCATATTTTTAAATTTTTTGGTAGAAGGAAAAGTGTATCCTCTTGTTCCTAATTATTAATGCAGTAGAATTTTATAGATATGTTTTTAATACTTTTAGCAAGTTATATGTTTTATATAATGTTAATTATCTGTTGGTATTTTTATTCATTATCCTATCATATGATTGTGTATTTTAGGTAATTTATATGAACTCTTTAATTTATCAAGTATATTAACATTTTTGTCTTTTTTGGCAAATATATTCTCCAACTTGTTTTTTATTTGATTAATTGTTTTTTATGCCTAAGTGATTTTCATTTTTAGGCAAGTAAGTCATCAAGTTTTTTTCATTTTTTTTGTATATTTTAGTTTAGAAAAAATATTTTTGATTTAGAGAAAATAAAAATATTCACCTAGATATTCTACATTTAAAGCAGCCACCTATATATTCTACATTTAAAAATCCTACATATTCTTTATAGCATATTAATGGACTTATCTTTAAATCTTTAATATTTTAAAATCTAGAATTATTTTTTAATATATGTTATGAAGTAAGGATCTAAAACTTTCTGCAAAACTATGACCCAGATTTCTGTGCATTATATATTAAGGTATTCCTTGAATATAGGCTTTAAGCATTCTTAAAAACAAACATAATAATTTTTGGTGGTGTGTGTGTGTGTGTGTGTAAATATGTATGTTTATGTATGTGTATGTTTCTTGAGATCATCTTTGCAACTTATTAAAGTTATGTATAAAGTATTCCTTAAGAATAGAAACTAGATATACATAGAAAACATTATATATATATCCAAAGAAACAATTTATTTTGTTCATTTGAAAGATAGTAATCAAGGCAAAACCCAAAACAAAACACTTATTTACAGCATCATAGAAAGAGAAAACACATTTTTCATTGGAAATTAGGTTAAAATTAGTAAGAAAAAAAATATCTGAATCCATTTGGAATCCAAGCAAAAAGTATTTGTAAAGCAAAATTTTATCTGCATGGAAGCATTTAGAAGCAACAGGCTTCCCTTTCTCTTACTTTTTCTGCCAAAAAAACAGCCTTAATTTAACAACTCTTTTTTGAAGTATCTCAAGCAATTTGAGTTTATATTTGGAATAAATACTGATATGAGACTGCTATAATAGTTATTCCCTCCAAGATGGTTTTCTTTTTAAAACAAATTTTCTAAATATTGTTTATTTAAAAATGTTATATTTTGATATTTGTTTAGTATTTTGTTTTTCTTAAAATATTTTCAGTAAGTCATATACATATTTATTATTTTATCCATTTCATTGTGGTTGAAAAAAATGTAAGTTTTATTATCTAGACACAATGGCTGAAGTGTTTTGAGGGCTTTTTAAATGATTGTTTCTATTCCTTACTCTTTAAATAGGTCACTTCTATTTTTTGGAAGGACAAAATGATGCTCTGCTTTGTGGCAACAGCTCAGATGCAGGGTAAGTGGTGTTTTGTATTGAGGTATTGTATTGTCTGCACTGCTCCATCAGCCTCAATAACCTCTCACCCACCTGGCCCCCACTCTCTCCTCATTTAAAGCCCTCCATAAATTCTACTTCACGCTGTCTCTCAAAATAGTTGGGATAAGTGTGGATTCTCACTTCCTTCACATACTCATATGCAGCAATTATTTTTCCATACTAGGTCACAGCTGATCTTCCAAATTAGTTATGGAAAATTGAAAAGCAGTACATATATATATATATATATATATATATATATATATACATATATATAAGAAGTTTAAGTTAATAACATTCATAAGCCAGTATTTTATAACAGTGATATTTTATATATGAGTGATCTCTGAGGCATGGTGAGTGTATGTCTAGCATATTTTAGCAAAGTGGTTAAGAATAGACTGGAGAGTTTGCATGGGTTCAAATCCTGACTCGACCATATAATGTCACCTCTCCTAGCCTTACAGTTTTTGCATGTGATAAAGAAGTATAATAATAGGGTGGCTGTGAGAATTAAATAGATTCCATTTACAGCTATCACAGCGCTCAATCAGTGTGTCTAATTATTATGATCAACATCCTGTGGACGTTTGTTACTAAGAAGTTTTCTTGCACCTACAGCTAAAGCCTGGGGAAATTCAGAGAAATAGTTACCTTTCCCTATTTGGCAAGTTTTTAGAATCATAGGCTTCTAATGTTCTTTCTGTGGAAGATGATATTGTGAACTTTAGTCTAAAGTAATACCTGTGGCAAAATTCTGAATGGTACCAGGCTTTGCATTTGGCTTATATGATAAAGGTTGTACTGCCTGTATCTCAGATCCCAGTGATAAGTAAAACAGACTGATTTTAATTCCTTGCCTGCACTGTACTAAACATTTTACATCCAGTATCTTATTCAATGCTTCTACGTTTGTGAGGCAGGTTCTGTCGTTAGCCCTTTCTTACATGTGAGGTGCCGAAAGCTTAGCAGGTGTCACAAACCTGCCCAGATCATGCAGCACACGTGTGTCAGGCATAATACTGAGGTCAGGCCAACGTGATAATCAAGGTCATAGGACGCCTTGACTATGCAGTTACTTCCTCCTCTCAGTGTGTCCCCCACACATCCTTTCTTTACCCCTCTTCTCCACTACCCCACTCACATGCTGCTGCCTCTAGATCTCTTCTGTGAAAATCCATTTTTTTCCCTGTACATTTATTTTTCTGTCCGTGTCCACACGTTCCCAAAGATATTAATCACGATATGACTGATTTTATATGGCAAAATCATAAATATAGTAATGACAATTTTGAATCACAGAGGAATTCACACATAGAATTAATAGATTCTGCTATTACGTAAATCAGTCCACATTGTGCTGGGTTAAGTGCTGGGTGAGGTGAGAGGAGTCAGCTTTCCCTGGTGTCACGTGCCATAGGCACTGGCATCTGTAAAAACAGAAAGCCAGTCAGCAGACCCGTGGCCACTGACTTCCTCTCTGCTTTAATCTCATTTCAGCCAGTGTCCAGAAGGATACATCTGCGTGAAGGCTGGTCGGAACCCCAACTATGGCTACACAAGCTTTGACACCTTTAGCTGGGCCTTCCTGTCCTTATTTCGTCTCATGACTCAAGACTTCTGGGAAAACCTTTATCAACTGGTGAGAACAGATAATATGATTCTTCTGGGAAGCATGAAATACTAAGATCAAGAGAAGTGCTGTAAAATACTTTAGTACTTACAGTGTGAGATCGTAACATCCTATATAAAATTCAATAAACTATCTCTTCCATTTTGCAGACACTACGTGCTGCTGGAAAAACGTACATGATATTTTTTGTGCTGGTCATTTTCTTGGGCTCATTCTACCTGATAAATTTGATCCTGGCTGTAGTGGCCATGGCCTACGAGGAACAGAACCAGGCAACACTCGAGGAGGCGGAACAGAAAGAGGCTGAATTTCAGCAGATGCTCGAACAGTTAAAAAAGCAACAAGAAGAAGCTCAGGTATAGTTGGCAAACATAGATTTCTTTTGTGTTTTTTTATCTCAGTTCTCTGGTGAGTTCAGTGGCATTTAGTACACAAAATCAGCAGTGGTTAAACTGACATTTGAAACACATCATATGTGTTTGATAAATGTTAGAACCTGTTCGGTTATTAGGAGATTATTATTTTATTTTGATAATTGCTGTCCATACTAATAGCATCAAAACATGGAGATTTATAATTGCTTTATTGACATTTTGTCTCCCTGGTGACCCCTCATTTACTCAAGCTCACAAAGTAGTTAGGCCAACCTGCCCTCAAATCAAAGTATTTTCTTAATCATCTGGGGAAGAAAAATTCAGTTATAGTTGTGTCTTTATTAGTGTCACCAGAGGTGTTAAAAGTCAGAAAATTGGAGTCTAGCTGAGATTATTTATTATTTATTTTCTGTTTGAAGATTGTTAAATGCAAGTTTATAGATTTCATAAGGAAAACACTAATATGTGAACATAGTAAATCACTACATTCTCTGCCTCCTACCCTGTAAGTCCTTTCACTTTTATTTGATGAGGCTTCCAAATAAGGCAAGAATTTCTCTAATTATATTTGCTTGACTTAATATTAACTAATCAAATTGCCTATTTTTTTGCCTGTTCTTGGATCTTGAGTACAGTTATTTTTTAACACTGAGTGCCCTAAATACGTAATACAAGTCAAATAAATAAAATTCACAGCAACAAAATTGAGTGCTATGTCTTTCAAAACACTGTTCAATTGTAATTTACAAATTCATTCAGATGCCATGATCTGGGGTTTTCTTAATATAATCTATAATATGTTTTTGTTTTGCATTTCTTAGTGAAATACTCAATTTAAGTCAAAGAGGAGAAAAGTTCATTAAGATAAAAAAAAATTCGACTGAATTAAATTCAGTAATTTAGACTGGAACTAAAAGTCATTGTCAGGTGAAAGTGTGATGGATCAGCTTAAAATAGGAAACATTTAATTCTTCAATTTTTTTCTTCTTAAGATACTGTTTAAATAATAGAAAAAAAAGTAACAATGTTCAAGTGTCTTGTTCATATTAGTAGATAATTACAAAGCATAGTGTGAGGCCAGAGCTTGAAGATTTTAATCAAAGTCACATACATCATCTTCCACATGTCTGTTGATTTTAATCCTTTTTTTTTGTTTTAATATTTTTTTATTGGGGAATTGGGGAAGGGGAACAGTGTTGGGGAATTGGGGAAGGGGAACAACCAAGTTGTTGTCCTTAAATCTTAGTTTTGGAGGGTGCAGCTAGCTTAGCTCCAAGTCCAGTCGCCATCCAACTGCCAGGCGTTAGCTCCTGGCTGCTCAGCTCAAGGTGCCATGTTCAATCTTAGTTGCGGGTGAGCATAGCTTACCATCCCATGCGGAAGTCCAACCAGCAACCTTATTGTTAGGAGCACATGCTCCCACCAGCTGAACCATTCTGCCACCTGTTGGCTTCTCAGCGGCAGCTCTGCTTGGGGGCAGCCCACTGGCCCATGTGAGAATTGAACCGGCGACCCTGTTACTCAGAGCTCAACTCTTAACCAACTGAGCCACTCAGCCGGCCCTGATTTTAATTCTTTAATTGGTCTAATAACAATGCATTGTTTTCCAAAATACCTACCCGAATGGAGCATTATTTTTCAAGATCATATTCATGATACTAAAGGTAAATTAAACAGTAATGCAGATAGAGTTTCTTGAAGTTTATATGCAACTACCATTTACTTTGGGCCCTTCTAGGCAGCCGCTGCCGCAGCATCTGCTGAATCGAGAGACTTCAGTGGTGCCGGTGGGGGAGGAGTGTTTTCAGAGAGTTCTTCTGTGGCATCAAAATTGAGCTCCAAGAGTGAAAAAGAGCTGAAAAACCGAAGAAAGAAAAAGAAACAGAAAGAACAGTCCGGAGAAGAAGAGAAGGAAGACAGAGTCCGCAAGTCTGAATCTGAAGACAGCATTAGAAGAAAAGGTTTCCGTTTTTCCTTAGAAGGAAGTAGGTTGACATACGAAAAGAGGTTTTCTTCTCCACACCAGGTAAAAATATTAGATTACGTAAATTGCATTTTTAAAAGCTATAGCAGAGCTAACACTGCCTTTCCCTGCACAACACAATGCTTTCCGAATGGTAATGATCAGCAAGAATTGTGATTATCACCTCAGAGAATTTGTGAGTTTTAAAACTTGTTGGAATCCCAGGAAAGCATTTTTAGAGCATAGATCCCGCTGGTTTTGAGGTTTTGTTAAAGACTCAAACATCTCAGGGCAATTTTCCACATGAGAAATTATCAGCAGATGTTTTTCATCCCTTCTTAGCAGCTGTGCCCGGACCTAGAGAACTGTGGGTTTTCTGAGTGGCGGGTTCCTAGAACTGAACTGTAGACTCTTTCAGATCAGCTGTTGAGTTGTTCCCATCCACGTGCAGACTTCATTGGAAGAATGCATTGCATTCTTCATGTCCTCATTTCAAGGGGAACCAGAGCAAAATTTTTCTAGAGGTGTAGCTAAAATTCTTAGGTAAGCACGCACTGAGGAAGATTTATGATCCTAAAAAAGCAGTGATGTTTAATTGCACTTGATTATCTCTGTCTCATGTTTAACGTGGGACTTGCATTGAAACAATTACCCTGATTTATATAGTGCGGTAAATGTTTACTGAATGCCTCTGGCTAATGTATCAGTATAAGCTGTTGAAACTTTGAAATTTAATTGTCTTTGAAATTACCAAGAGAATTCCCAGAAATACAGTTTCTCAGAAGACAACTTCACTGGTAGTGAAACCTTAATATCTGTATAGTAACAATAGCAACTATAACAACACTGATAGCAGTGACAATGGTTAACACATAGTGCATTGAACCTTGCGATATTAACTCATTTAAGCCCCTCACAACAGCCCTAGGTAGGTACTATACTCATTATTCCCAAATTAAGTACGAAGAGAAGGCGAGGGCTGTATTCTTTGTTGAGTGCCTCTTTTATACTTGATGTTCTTTTTACACAGTCATAATTAATGCTAACAGCCCTGCATAGTATTATTTTCAGTATTTTTAGGATCAGTGAAGTTAAATAATTGCACAATGTCATATAGTTATTAAAAGCTGAGGTGCTTTTTAAATTTGGCCTGACATTGAAACTCTAACTTCCCACTTTATTAGGCCTACTAGAAAGAACATCTTTAAAAATTGATAAGGAAATGTACAGTTTGATGTCATTTAAGAGATGCATATATTTAGGATTCTACCTGCTCTCCATAGATTTTATAGTATACACAGTCATCTTACATAATCTTTTGTTTAATATGTGTACATTTTTATAGGTCAGTATGATTCATTCCAAGTCCAAATAACATTACAACATAGAATAAATTAAAGGTTTTTTTTTCTTATTTGATTGCATTAGTGGAGACATTAATCTAATAAATATGAATTCCTTAAAAATCAGACCCCCTTTTTAGAGCAGTGGGCATTTCGTAAAGGAAAGAAGGAGAAAAGGGAGGGATAGAGGGACGGATAAGGAAGGTAGGTTGGTTACATGAGGTAAAACGGCCTAAACTTGAAACTGCAAATCAGTCGTTACCAAAGAGTCTCTCCAATTTGCTTTATTTCAAATCCAGTGAAACTAATTCTGAGTAAAATAGTGAAGCCCGAAAAGGGAAAGCACTGTCCTGCCTCTTTCTGCAAATTTTGCTCACAGATATAACATTTTATCAGTAGTATCCTCACACCATTTCCTAGCTAGTTGGACATTATAAACGATCACTGAATTACACAACTTGGACTGTCTGGCTCAAATTGATATTTTTTTCTTAAGTGGCATCTGTAAAAAAAAAAAAAGAGTTAATGACTTTTTTTAATCTAATAAAGAAATAAACAAATAGCTAAGGAAGATGGAGAGGGAACTGGAAAGGGAGAGAAAAAGAGAAAGAGAGAGGAGGGAGGAAAAGAAGGAGAAAGAGAGGGGGGAAGGAAAGAGAGAGAATCCTGAATTCATACTAATTCCACTTTTCAAGTCACTGGAAGTAATACTAAAAATAAAAAGCTAGGTAAAGTTTCTCAACCTGGGTACAGTGAGAAAATGTCCAAAGCTGTTAGATTTTTTTGAGTCCAAGACCACAAAATACTAAAAACTGTTGTTTCATTTTGACATGATAGAAAGGCAGTTGTGTTGGTAGCCATTTCTACTTTCATATTTTATGTTAAGATATAATTTTCTTAGTAAAGTAGGTGAATTGTATGAAATATTTCTCCTAATACTAATGGTCTTAGTATTAGGAGAGGGAGAAGGAAATCAAGAGTTCAACCTCTAATCAAGTCTTAAGACAATCTGGAGGTTTTATTTTAAAAACTTTGTAAGATACAGTTGACCCTCTTAAATCATTTTACTCCCTATTTGTAATAAACAAGTTTTGTTTTTAGAGGTTGATTTGGTATGGCAGATTTTTCTTACTGACTATCCTTTATTTGTGGCACAGCATTTGATTGCTATGGATTTATACAAGTAATTAATAGAAGTTGATGCTAACAGATGGGACACAATCATTTTTCATACCGTAAAGTATGCTTTTGTATGTCATGATTCACTTTCGAACTTTAAGAAATTCTTGTGTGCAATTTTATAACTTATTTTCCTCCAACCCTTCTATTTGTGCTACTTGAGTGGAGCACTTGCAAATTAAAATAGAAGCTCTTACTTAGAGTGATACATATAAATAATTTCTACTTTATCTCTTATTGCCAAGCATTTCTTGTCTGCCTTTCTTTTTGAGGTAATGATAACTAGTAGGTCACAAATCCTGTAACTATTATGTCCTTATAGCCAATTTAAAGTCCCTTGTGAAAGGAGACATGAAAGAAATTGGATAGTCTAAGAGAGGCTTTAAAAAAATTACTACCTGTATAGAAAGCAATAAAGGAAAAGAATGACTCTTACTAATGAAATTGATGATAGGGTGAAAAAACTTGGGAACAGAAACAGGAGAAATGACTTCCGTTGGGGGAGCATGTCAGTCTTCTTAGATGTGCGTCTTTCTGTAAATAGTGAATAGGCTCACAACATAAGATAGTGTTTCAAGTTCATAGACATTTTATAGATGTTTGCAAGCATTATTGAGAAAATTATTCTTTAGCTTAAAATAATTAAAACATATTTACTGTCAGGAAATGTAAAAAATACACAAGTATAAAATAATAATTTTAGGTAGCTTTAAATCCTTTGGAGAAAAAAAATCAAACTGATATTAAGTGATGAAATTAGTATTATTTCTATTAATAATTCTAGGAATCCAATGCAAGCCAGCATTAGCAAAAAGAGAACTTTTTATATCATGTAAATAATATCTGTAAGTAGCTTTGGGTATGTCTGAACCCAGGGACTCATAACATATTATTATGACCAAGTATTTCTCCATATCTCAGTCCAAGTTCCTCCAATATGGTGGCCAGATGCCCACTGCAACTCCACACTTATACTTAATATTTGTAGCAACCCTAATTGAAAATACACCTCATTTCTAAAAATTCTGAAAAAAACAAAGGTGACTGTCAATGGGCCATGTAGTGTCCCCTGCCCATCTTTAAACCATTCTCTGGCCAGAGATGTGGAATACATTCATCAGCTAGGCCTGCGTCATATTCTTGCCTGAGGACCATTTCTCAAGGATAATCAGGGCATTATCAAAAGAAGAAAGAGAACTAGATATTGGACAAGCAAAAACAAGCGTTCACTACAGTGAAGTTGCAAAAGTAGACAATAAACAATAAATGATTCTTGTGCTCAGTGCTGCTGTGTTTAAAAATCAAGGTAAAGTGCATGATGGCAGTGACCTTGTAGCCATTTAGAAAATTATTAAATGATTGTGACCAGATACTTAGTGAAAACCAGATATTTGTAACTATGGCATTCTTCTTCATATTTCTTGAGATAGAAGAGTGAAAAATCAGGGAATGAATCATATAGTTCTTTCAGCTTGATTTAATTTATTCATGAAAATAGAAACTATGCAAAGAGAAGGGAGAAGCTTTTCCTTGTGCTATAATTAAACAAACCTACTAGCAAGATTCATTTTATCTTCCTCTGTGGTCAGGGTGTGGTCACTAGTGGATATATGTCACTCTTACTGGATATATGTTTGGCTTCAAAGGACCTAAATGTAGGTGTGTATTTAATCGCTTTCCATTGGATTAAGTGAGAATGGCTTCTAGAGAGGGAGCTAGCAAAAATTACAGCTCTAGGTGCCAGTAACAGGACTAAACAATGTTGAGAGGGTACTTGTGACTATCTTAATGCATGGGTAAAGAAGAAGAAATGAATAAAGAAAGAGAGAGAGAGAG